GCTTTGCCTGAGCAAGACTTGGAGCACATAAATTTTAATACTCTCAAACGATGGCAGCTTTTGCGCCAGATTACTCAGCACTTCTGGAGGCGTTGGCAAGCTGAGTACCTACATACTCTACAGCAGCGACCTAAATGGCTTGCCAAGATTGCAAATTTTCAAGTTGGTGATTTAGTTCTTATCAAGGATCCCAACTTGCCACCGCTTCACTGGAAGAAAGCTCGTGTGACTCGCATTTGCCCGGGTTCTGACGGCACTGTTCGCGTCGTAGAATTAAAAACTTCTACTGGCACTCTACTTAGACCAGTAGTCAAGCTTTGCCCTTTGCTGCCATCTTTCAATTAAAAAAAACAATACTTATTTTTTTTTTTGTTTAGGTAGTAGTAATAGCTTTAGTTCTAGTAAGCAACATATTTTTTTTTTACTCTTTTGTTTACGTCAACCTTTTAGCAAATTTCAAAGGGGTTCGTTCAAATGAAAGAGCTAAGCCGCTCTTTGGGGGGCGGTATGTTAGGTACACATTCTTTACTTGACATCACTATACATATCTTCCTACCGTCACATCCTAAATTCCCTCGATATTCCTTTACCTGGAGGTAGTACTCAAAAAAGCTTCAACGGCCGCATACGGCGATGGGACGAGCTCCGCATTCTCCCCATCAAATTTAAGACTACGCGTCAAAGTTATCGTGCGAAACGCAATAAACTATCTTATTTTACAATTACAAACTTTAAGCAAATCACCCGGTGTTGTGTGAAAGTGATTGGTGTACGAAACGCGACTTAAGAACCCACGCGGGACAACGGCGAACCAGGTAGTCCATCCACCCTTTCTATCTTTACCCAACAGAAATTACTCTTAGTGAATCAAGTTTAATGATTACAAGAAATTATTAACACCAACATTGTTACTTGAATAAAAATGTGAATTTAAACATTCATAATATTCAAAAAAGTGTATTAGTCTAGCAATGACTAATACACTTTTTTGAATATATATAAGTATCAACCTGATTGACGTGGCAACGCGTGAGTGTACTTAAGGCATCAAGTATCCGCTTAAAGGTTTTTCAAGTTCCTTGCAAAATCTCAAAATATTTTGTTTTGTATCTAGAAAGCCTCATCTACAACGATCCCATCGTCGCTAAGAGATTACAAGTTATTTTTACATTTGAAACCGATATCTGCCGATTTCGAAAAAAAATTATCGCCTATACTTTAAAGTCGAGAAGCGTTATTAATTTTTTTTCACGAGTATCCATACTTATAAATTTATGAAAAGGTAGCAGAAAATTAAACCAAAAAGACAAGCAAATCTGTTATTCTCATAAATATTGTTAACTATTGACTTTTTACAATACGGGTTCAATAAAAAGTACCCTATGACACTCTTCGGGCCATAAACTATCTCTATAAAATCACACCATCCTTTACCGCTTCGTTGCTGCGTAAAAACCCTATTGTGGAACGTCTTCACAACTAAATAGCATGTCTAAAACAAGGTTAAAGGTGACAAGCAAAGTAAGTTTACAATTTGATTTGGCATAAAAAACATATTTGAATGAAAAGTTTATGCAAGCATTTTTCTATATCAGAACTTTTAGCAAAATGTCTCCTACTAAGATCAATAAAAAATCAATAAGAAAACAAATATTATTTATTTTTAAGTCTAAAATTAAAAATACATATATCATTGAATAAATAATATATCGTCACGGAAATGGAATACTTCGTAGATGTTAATGTCTGAAACTAATGTCTGGTAGGATCTAACGTAGAATAAGTAAAGTAGATAATTATTGTATTATAATATTACTAGCTGACCCGACAGACGTTGTCCTGTCTACACGTCTTTAATTTGAAAATTTCAAACTTTTTTTAATAATTTTTTTGATGAAAATTATTATTCAAATTGTGAATCTAACCCATTCTCAGATCCCCTTGAACACACACAAAAAATTTCATCAAAATCGGTCCAGTCGTTTGAGAGAAGTGTCAACACAGTGTCATACACACTCACAGAAGAATTATATATATAAAGATAAACAATTATAATTTTAAAAGAGCAACTATTGAGTTTCTCGCCATCTCTTCTCAGCAGAACTTCCTTCCGAGCCGGTGGTAGATTCCTCACAGACTGACTACACTGACATTTAATTTTAATTTAAAATATAAAACTGACGATTCAAAAGTGCTTGTAAAAGTCTATTTGAATCTATACTAATATTATAAAGAGGCAGAGTTTGTTTGTTTGTTTGTTGTTTGAACGCGCTAATCTCACGAACTGTTAATATGATTTGAAAAATTCTTTTTGCATTAGGTAGCCCGTTTATTGAGGAAGGCTATAGGCTAGATCATCAAACGGGTTACTCAAGGATTGAATCATAAATGTCAACAAATCGTGCAGACTTCCATACATTATTGTAAAACTGATGTTTATAATAAAATAAATACTAACGGTTGTGAAACCGCGGGGCACAGTCAGTAAGTATAATTTGATTTGATTTTTCAAAAGTATAATAAAGTTGTAATAAAAAATTATTTTTTCTTATATTTATTTAAAACAATACAAAATTCAAAACAAATATTGTTTACGGCAAAGTAAAAAATATTTTATTATATGTACCCAAAGCATTAACAATACCTAAAAGAGATTATTAGAAACTCACTAGAAAACATTTGTAGTTGAAAAAACAAAAACAAAATATCTTCGAAATCCTTGACGAGTGTAAATTGTAAAAGTTTTAAGTAGTAAGATTTGTAATTTCTATGGAAAATTTTAACCAATCAAAAAAGAAATAAAACAAAACTACGTAAATATTTTATAAAAAAAAAGTCAGACCAAAATAGTGGTGGGTTTAACCTAGACTATACATATAATAAAATAATAACTAAGCCGATTCTGTACATTAAATATTTTTAGGAAAAATCTTATATAATAATGTATATTTCATATACATTATTAGACGAATCTATAGTTTTTAGAATTTTTGTTAATCTGTCTGTCTGTTAGCGCATCATGGAAAAAGCACTCACACAGGATTTTGATGAAATTTGGTATGACGATAGCTGGTTATACGGGTCAACATATAGGATACTCTTTACTGCGGGAAAATATCTCATCTCTGAGAAGTCGATACTTAGCGTCAAAACGTAAGTAGGGACGAACCGGAGCGAAGCGAGTGTGAGTCCTAATTATTTATAAAAAAAATGATGCCTACATATCATCAATGATGGACGCGATGTTATCGTTCCCTCTTAATAAAGCAATGAATTGGGCTTTTCGACCCGAAACCACAGTAAACATGGTAACATTTCGTCTGAAATTCAAAATAGCTGCGTAAAAGAGAAGTGTTCATTAGTCTGTGGTAACAATTTTTTTATATAAGAACATTGGAAAAAACCAACCGATAAGTATCTAATTTTACAAATAAAAGGTTGAATGATATAGTGAATTACGAAGAAAATGTTTAAACCGATTTCCTTCCTCTGATAATTTCCTTCCTTTCAGAAATTTTAAATCGGTTAAGATTATTGAGGTGTCTTTTAAAAGGACAATCATTGTCAGATAGGCGCGTGATATTTGTCTTTGAAGTGAATTTTTTTAAATTCTCCAGAACTCGAGTTACAGAAAAAAGCAGTGCTAAAAATATTTCAAAACTTTACGATGCCTTTGTTTCAGCCTGCTACTAAACTTTAGTTAGTTGCAAGTTACAAATGTTTTCTTTATATATCTTTTGGCGCTAATGATCAAAATTAAATAATTTTAATCAAAAACTAATTGAGCAACAAGATTTTAGCTTTAATAAACCAATGCATCAGACATTGCCATTAACCGCAGGGTGTTTGGGGTTTGCTAACATTTAACCCTTGTTAACTACTAAATACATTACATTGACCGCGTAAGATAAAGACAAATTAGTGATATCTTACATAGTTTTATTTGTGTTGTTGTTGTTGGCTGCCAAAAGGAAGTTCTTGATGTAAAATATGATATTTTTATCCTTTATTTAATACTTTTATTTTAATGTCAGTTTTAAATTTTATTTTTTTACTGTACTTGAATTTAAGATCCATGGTAAGCTACGAGGCTTGTGTTATGGATACCAGATAGTTGATACACTACACATATATAACTTTAAATACAAATTAAAAAATGCTTGTAATGATATTTTTTTTCTTTAAGAGTTCATATATATATATATATATATATATATATATATATATATATATATATATATATATATATATAGCGGGCACATTTGAATAGGCACCCCGGTCAAAACATATTGTCCCTTTTATTATTGTATAAAAAAAAATGATTTCGATTAAATACGCTATGAACGTAGCAATCTTGCAGTGGGATCTTAGTCCATAAGCGGTATTTTCCGATTTACTAGACAAAACGTGACAGCTCGACGAAAACACGATATCATATAATACATATATTTAATAGTCTCAGCAAAGATAGTCTGCTATAATTTAGCACTCAGGAATAATGTATCTATCTATAAGTGAAAGAAATTTAGGATTTCAATCATTAGTTCCGTAGATTACAAATCACAGACAATATTGGTTGTAATGTCTGTGTTACAAATAGACGACGTCGATTATTGAGTACAAACTCAAATTTAATATCCTTATAAGATTAATATAGATACTTACAATTTACATTTCAACGACTATATTACGCAGAAATAATTAATATATATAACGATATACTCGACTAATTATTTGTTTACTGGAATATGAAAAATAAACACACTTATGTATCTAATATATTTACATTTGTTTATTTTACTAGATCATTATATGTTTAATAAAAGCTCAGTAAATAAAACATGAGGAAAATAAAATGTATTTATTGAGTATATTTAATAAATTGTATTCTACGATCAACTGTGAAAGTTATTAAAATGAGTTCAAAAGGATTCCTTGGAAAGTTTATTGATGAACCTTTGGCATTATTGTATATTACTGATAAAGTAAAGGTTCTATTAAACATACATTTCGATTTGGTAGTTAAGACCAGATCCCCTGTCGCTCTTTAGTCTAATATTGGCATAGGAAAAGCCGACTCCTCCGGCAGTGACTGAAGCTATAGCTTCAGTGTGGTCCAAATCTCTTGCTATGATACCCTGAAACGATATAAAGTATTATTAAATATAAATATTTTATTACTATCTTTTATATGAATATGTTGTATTATGTTTATAGTGTCGTAGAACTAGAGTCTCTGTCTCTTTCTTTTGTTCTGATCGGACTCACTTTCTGCGACATTAGGAAATGCCAATACGATTTTATTCCATAGTAATACATTAGTTAGTTAATTATTATTAGTTAAATAATATCATATTATTTTTATAGGCAGTGGTAGCCCAGCGGTAGCGCCCTAGCTTGGAAAACTAAGTGAAGTGGGATCTCGCACCTCTAATATTTTCATGTGAATCATTTCTAACATGATTACCACTTGCCTTACGGTGAAGGAAAACATCGTGAGGAAATCTGCATGCCTGAGAGAACCTAACAAGTTATAGAAAGACATGTTATGTTCGCCAATCCGCACTTGGCCAGCGTGGTAGACTATGGCCTGATCCCCCTCATATTGAAGGGAGGCCTGTGCCCAGCATTGATACGTTAAAAAGAGTTGAATAGAGAGAATATTATTTTAGTCCATTTATTAACAGAAATATTAAACGATCACAAATATAAAAAATTATAATTTAAAGTAACAATTAACTTTTTAATTAAAAAAGTAATCACAATAAAATTATGGACTTTATCACCTTGTCTACCACAATTTGAAAATAGGGCTTGGTAAAATTGTATATAAGAGAAAAAATAGTTTATTCCTATTTCATAATGAAGGTGTAGAATATTTTGTTGCCAGATAGTACTGAGAATCGCACCAGGTGTTACTTTTAATCCTATAATTTGCTTAGATTAAAAGTCATGAAGGTTTTTTTTTATATTTTACTCGAAAAGGTATATCGATTACACAAATACTTTGAAAGTACTAAATCCCTTCAGGTAGTTTTTTGACCACATGTAATAAAATATGTATCAAATAAATCTTTATAATAATTGCTGACTAATAGTAGTAAGTACAAAGCACGCACGATATTAGAATTTTGATAAAATTTAATTTCCAAATAATGAAAGCCCGCTGGCATGTTCGTCCTGTATCACAAAAGTAGGACCATAATTGTATTAGCTTCAATAATTTTTTTTCAAAACAAAATGTACAAGTATATGTAGATAAAATAATAGAAATACTTTTATTTACAAAGTAGTTTCTTATGAATATCGTTCAAAATATAAACCACGTAATATTTAATTACTCGCTTTTTAGGAATGAAGTTAGTTTAATCATCGCACGTTAGGATGGATTTTTCAATAAAAGGGTAAAATCTATTCAATCCCAAAATACCTCGTGTTCATGAAAGCTCCGTCATTATTATTGTACAAAACAACACGTCAGCAAAACCATTTATTAAACACCGTGTCTGACATGACATACCTACGATGAATTTATTTTTGTCTTCGTTAAAATATTATGTACGAGTACATATGGATTATTATTTATTTGGTACCAGATACATAAAATAGAACATGAAAGTTTCAAGTTTGTATACCATTATTTTGCTCACAACTACCAAACACGATCTCTGCTCTGTATAAGTTTAGAAATGTTACACTAAGAAAGTGTAGAAAGTTATATCTTTATATGCAACAATCAATTGTAAAAATTTTAGCAGTATTTCGAATTAGAAAAAAATAAACTGCAAAATCATTCAATCAATTTAAAACCAATTTAAATCCATCCTGAGAAGATACATTGAAACAGTTGGCTAATTTTTGGAATTTTACTTAAACAGCCAGATATAAATTCAAAAACTGCTCTTAGAAAAGTTGACTTTCAAAATCGATCGCCGCTAATAGAACATTTAAAAATATTTGTACGTGAATGACTTAATCTCACTACTTATTCTGTTGATCTTTTTTCCACTGTTTTTAGTGAACATCAAAATGGGCATAAAATTATTTATAAGAAAAAATCTAGCAGCAATATTTTTCTACATGGCATTATTAATACGAGCACTTAGATATTATTTTCCTCATCTTTTGAGGCCATACGACTGTTTATCCTTATGATAAATAACATTGAGAGCGATTTACTGTCGAAGTTTAGCAGAAACTCATACAAAAACACGAGGTTTTAAGGTCACGGTCAGCAATCAGGCAATTAACTTTTGTCACTGGTCGTATTTAAGAATTAATTTCGAATAACTATAAAAGTACTCTTATAAAAACACAGTGTTAAGGAATTAAAATAGTGTTAGAGATAATATTATAGGTTTGATTTGTTACTAAAATTAATTTGTCGTATTTTAATAGTAGGTAAGAACGTATACATAGGTAACGTGTTTTCTCGTGGGAATAAGATAATCTCCCGCGGTAAAAAATAGCTTATGTCACTCTCCTGCCCACCAACTATATCAACATAAAAATCACGCCAATCTGTCACTCTGTTTCGACGTGAAAGAAGGACAAACAAACAAAGAAACAAACACCCTTTCATATTTATAATATTGGTATGGATATAGTCTGTCTATTCCATACTAACCGTTAAAACGTACCTAGGGACGAACCCGAGCGCAGCGAGGCCACGGTAATGCAATGCATACTAGTATTGCAATTCGGCCCTGTCCTTGAAATAATTACCTACAGCCGAGCGCGGAGCAGGGCTGTCCGCCGGCCAGTATTGAAATACTTTCATCTACCTACTTGAGTTTCTTTCTAATTTTGTGATTTTGAATATTATATTTTATATTTAAAAACTATTATTAGTAGATTTAATTAAAAAAATCTCAAATTTATAAGGGTGGTATGTGACTTATAAATTTGAGATTTAAAAATATTTGCGCCTCGACTGAGACGTACGAAAAGCTTTACTGTTAAATGAATTATTGTTAAATGGTATGTATTTAATAGGTACGCTTTAATTACTTAGCCAAAGCACACCGACTTCGAAAATATTTGATTAGGTACGTATAGTAAATGAAAACTACCAATCAGTTACTTTTTACTTTTTAGTGCTTTTGTTTGAAGTCAGATTTTTATTTTTTTATTAAAAAGTTTTTATTTTTAAAACATACGATGTCTCGATACTTTTTTGTTTGACATTAACGAAGTTACGGGAGAAATAAAATGTTTATCTTTGTATCAAATTATAAAAGTTACATAACATAACCACCTTATACAATTTTCGTATCCAATAATTCGATCTGGCAGCCCCGCACGGTTGTCTACCCAGTGTATACCGAACGCGACGCGCGTATTAGGATTATAACTCGATTTCTGACCGTTTGTATGAAGATGGAATACTGTATGTAATATTACCGTGGCGAGACGAAGCTAGTATTAGAATAGTTTTAAGACATGTACCTATTATGTATTATTGAAAAATGAACTCTCATTCTGAATCACGTAAAACATTTAAAATTAAATGCAATAATTAGAATGGACCCACCTGTTAGATAGATATCATAAATAAGTAAAGATATCGTGTAAAATGTTAAATTATCAAAAAAAGATGCAAAGGACGTAAATTTTTCCAATTATCCGCGCTTAATGAATGATTATAATTTATACATCTATGTTCTATATTTCTATATACATATATATATATATATATATATATATATATTATATATATATATATATATATATATATATATATATATATATAATAAAATAATAAAATTGTAACTAAGCCGAATCTGTACATTAAATATTTTTTGGAAAATCTTATTGAAATAGACATTATTATCGATACAGAGTCCGAATTTATTGTTTTTAGAATTTTTGTAATTAAGTAATTCTCAGTAACAGCCCGGAGTTGGGAAGTTGGAGGTGTTTCACCCCCGTGCCTCGGAGAGCACGTAAAGCCGTCGGTCCTGCGCCTTAACTCTCACTGGTCGTGTCGAGCAGTCGTCCCACCAGAGTATGAGAGTGACAGGAATAGAGAGCGCACTTTTGTCTGCGCGTACACTTTATGTATGTAGCAATATACTCTATGGGGATCAGGTAGTATGCGTAAATGCATTTCCTGACATAAAAAAAAGAAGGTTTTCTCAGACTTCCTCACGAAGTTTTCCTTCACCGTAAAGCAAGTGGTAATCATGTTAGAAATGATTCGCACATGAAAATATCAGAGGTGCGAGATCTGGGATTTACATCCGCATCACTCGGTTTCCACTGGGCTACCTGCCTATTAATTTTTGTAGTCGTTCAAAATACATAGACTATTAACTTGTTATCTTCTGAGTAATAAGCAGGTATGTTAAATAAAAAAAAAACTTATTCAATCTTTATATTTATAGTGTTTTTCTTGGTCTTGGAAAATATAACAAACGGTATAACGTGCAGGTGAACTAGTTACATTTATAAATATACATACAATCTATGCTACAAAACGCTTAAGCATGAATCATAGATATTATATTATGTTAACATTTATATTACACAAGACTTTGCATAAACGCATTACGTGTGTTGCGATATAACTGAATAATGACTTTAAAAATTATACTCAATAAAGGTACATACATTGGTTGTTACCTGTTATGTATTTAGTTTCTTTTTATTTTTCGAATTATTTAAAATTCGTAAATAATTAATGAAATATTATGTATAGTAACAAAAAATAATATTTCCCCAGCACCATCACTATTTATTATTATTTACACAACTAGTAGATAAGTATGACGATTTGTTTTGAGAATGATTTGATACAATTGTACCTATTTAGCACATTATAATATACAAAAAGTATTAATTGCCAAAAAATAAATCATTTAATTAATATAATAAAATATTATCGCAGATTAATTAGCCAATCTTAAGAATAAGTAGATAAGAAAATATAAAACTAATTTTAATCTACATTTTATTATTCAAAATACGATATGTACAAACACTGTTATTATAGAAGTAATTATTCTCATTACCACCGACTTGGGTACCCTTGCTTCGCTCGGGTGCGTCTCTAGGCACGTATTAATTTTTTTGAGTGGGGCCCTAATTCTTTTTCTAAAATAAAAGTCGCCTAAGTTACTCCTTATAATATCAGCTATATTCCAGCGAAAATTCCGTCAAAATCAGTTTCAGAGATTAGCCGGAACAAACAAACAGACAGACAGACAAAACTTTTTGAAATTGTATTTTTCTTATAAGTACCGTATATTTTCCATACTATATTTATTTCCATACTTATTATTTCAATTCTATATAATTACCGAACTTCGTATGCATTTAGTAAAAAGCTGTTATTTTGACATTACAAACAGTTATTTCAATTTTAATTATCTGTATAGATTATTATAAATGCCGACGAACGCCTATCTGAGAGAATAAATATTTCAAAAGAAATATGTTCATATTTTCTTCTTATTCACTTTAATATTAAATATTTAAAAATTACAAGTATATAATACAATGAGTTTATATAAAAAATACCTTTATAATTTGCTGGCCAGGATCAGAGAAGAAAACCTCCTTGACCCTCTTTTTAAGAGGGATGGCATTGTATTCAGCCTTTTCTTGCCATATTAATCTGTTGTTAAAACTGGTTCCAATAATTAGGTCCTTGCAGTAACTAACGCAAATAAATGAGGCAAAAATAACACATAGTATAGGCACGGTCTTCATTGTAAATGTTGATATTACGTATGATCGCAAACACGTATGCGAGTTGACTGGTTAGCACTTAGCAGACTATACAGTCTGTTTCCATTGGTCACTTAAAACCTGTTTACTCGAATAGTGAATAGGCGGAAAAAACTTATCAAATCATTTATTGAGTCTGACATCAATGCTTTGTACCTTTTAAGATTCTATATCAATGGCGTGTTAACGCATGTACAAACCTAATAAATATTGAAAAGGTTTTGCTCATACGACTTTTGTTCCAGTTACACGATATTTTTTTGTTATTTCCTTACAAAGATTTGTTATTTAATAAGAGAATACTTTAAAGTTTAAATTCTAATGGTTAAAATGAAATAGATAGACTATATAATATACCTATAGCCTTCCTCAATAAACGGGCTATCTAATGCAAAAAGAATTTTTCAAATCGTATTAGTAGTTCCTAAGATTAGTTTTTATAAAATATTAGTATAGATAAGCTACGTTTCATTAGACATGTAGATATACATGTTATATAAAAGCAAAAAAAATATCGCTCACAATTCAATCAGGAATTCTCAGAAATTACAAACTAGGGTATATTGCTAAATTTAATAAATTGGAAGGTTAAAAAATATTAAATATACAAATAACGACGGTTTTTAATACTTACGTATATGACGTGGAAAATTTTCCCATACAGTAAATACAAAATATTAGACTAGTGGTTTTAAAAGTTATCGTATTTATAAAAATATTATTATTCAAATTTCAAAGGCCAATAATATAATTAATTAAAGAAAAATTTTCTTTTCTTATTATTCATTTTAAATAAATTATTTAATAACTTTTCATTCTATCATTTTAAATAGCCTAATAAAAGATACGGAAATGGTAGCGACTTAAGGCATTTAATACCAGCTAAATTTTAGCAATGTGGCTCCGATAGTTTTCGAGTAAAACAGTTGTTTGTGACAGACAGACATTTAAACGGTTTTTGTAAAACTGTTGGTTCGTTCGACCTCTGCATCGACAATAAAGAATATTTCAATGAGATTTTCCAAAAAATATAATGAATGCTTAATTCGGCTTAGTTATAATTTTATTATATGTAAATATTTATTAAATAAATTAAATATTGGCCTGATCCCCCTCGTATTGAAGGGATGCCCGTGCCCAGCAGTAGGACATTAAAAAGGGCTGAATATATACATATATACAAATATTTATTATATCCTTGAGGTGTATAACCTATTTATTGGTTATTATAAAAAGAAATAAAAATCGATTCATATTGGGCTTTATGAAGTAATCTGTGCAAGAGAATTGTATGCGCAAAGTAGTAATAATAAAATCGTAAATATATTCAAGATTTTATTATTACTACTTTGCGCCCATTCATAATTGAAATCCGACCATAATCATAATTGAAAATTTGAAGAAAATATATGAATAGAATGTACCCATTTACATTAAAAAAAATGTTTTCAAGATTTTTTATTGATAAAGTGTAAAATTCTACTCTCTTTCTTTTTTTATTACTAAAAAAAAGAAAATCGGTTCTCCGTTTTGTCTTTGACTATTTATATATGCATAGATATTTATATGTGCTTGTGTAAATTAATGGAGATTATAACGTTTGGTCCGATTTCATAATTGAACCAGCTAAACATGAATTTAAATTAAATCAATATCTATAGCCAGATAACCTCGGCATAGTGTATCTTACTGCGATATTATAAATTAAACTCGCGGTCTACACACAAATTGCGTTACAAATTAAATGCTTAATATGCTTTAATATATCTTTGTTGTTATTAAGATTCTACATAGACTATCTGATGTTGAGAAATAGTTATAAGCAAATATGTAGACACTAAGTAATATTTTGCTTAAGTTTATTTAAGTAATTTTTCTTCGGTTTTTGCGCGTATAAACAAGTAGGTATAGTGATATAAACCGATGTGCAGGTATGGTTCGCAATTAGTAATGATATAATTATTCAAGTTAACGCAATACGACCCTGGTACAATTCCTATTTTCCTTTTTTATACTACTACTAGTATTATTATCATTGTAACATGATAAAAGTGAAGATATGTACATAATATATTTGCTGGTTTATCCGTAATTCACGCAACAATGAAACGACATATTACGTGATTTAAAACAACACAAATTCAATATTTAGTGGCATTTAATTTTAACTTATTTTATTTTTTGTGATTTTTTTTTAAGTTCTTTTATACTGGTACAGAAAGTGGCTCTCGAAAGGCACTACTGTATTACATAAAGTAACCTAGTTACACTAGTTTATTATATATTTATAATGTATTCCGACGTGCATACGTTTAAATAGGTTAAAATAAGAACTTACAATTTTTCTTTCTTTGACTATGTCAACGTATATGTAATTACCTAAACAATGTGGGCGGCTTTTATGATATAATCATGTGTCATGTTTTATATACCTACGTGTACAATGTATGGGTATAAGTAAATCCCCCACAAACATTACATTGTCTTTTAAATAAATAATATAATTATCCTTATGAAATATAGTTTTTTTCTTTAATTCAAAACTCATATTTTAGTTGTAGGTAACTTAAAAGTAAACAGGAATATAACCTAGTTATTTGTAGACGATTTTCCCATAATGAGCATTTGCTTGGCAACTGTGGGCATAATTTATTTCCTGTTAAAGAGTAAAGTATGCCGCCGAAGCCAAGAGCGTTTGTACGCATTAACGCTGTATAGCTCATGAAAAATCGCTTAGGGAAGATGCAAGCGAACCCAGTTTGTGAGCAATATAACGTGGAAGCCATATATCTTTTTTGTGTTCTTTCTAAAAAGCGACAGTAGTATATTTGCCTTTATAAAGCGTAATCGGCTTGGAAATATAATTTTACCATTCTTAATATTTTCTTACAAAATATACCTAATGTAGATATATATGTACCTACTTGATTTCGTGATTAATTTTAAAATATAGATGGCATGGGCTTAGATAACGATTTAAATATACCAAAGCTGAGAATTAAGTATAGACATTACATTCAGTATCACTAGGGTTGGAATCCTGTGTTAGGGATCTGGAATATGCCATGTGCGGGAAATAAACCCGCAGACTGCAATCGTTCATAAATTAGCACCGTAATTATTATACTGATCTGACACTCAATATTACTATAAGTATAGTAGAGCTTAAATAGAATTATTAAAGACATTACCTAAAATATAGAAAAATACTGCAGGAAAGTCGAAAAACCAGTGCGATTTTGCACCATTCAATGGGTTAAATTGAGTAACTTAACAGTTACAGCTATGTGGTTTGATCAAAAATACAAATATAGTCTTTTAGCTGTAGGCATGTACTTACTTTTAAAACTTAGACAACATTCTCTGGTATCAGTAAATTTAATAATCTAAGAACATCCTCACTTATAACATAAATTACAGCAATATTATTATGTAAATTTAATTATTTCTCAATAAAACGTTTCGTGGTAGGACAGCGGCACTGGTGATTATTGTAGGCATGACATAGTGTGGACACTTAATATGCGTGATTAATTACCCTATGCCCGCTACTTACTTGCCACTTTAGTGTTTGATTAATAAACATACTAAGATAATCCCCCTCTCATATAACTAGTCTATTTGAAACAAGGTTTTGCTAATATTTAAATTTTAGATTTAAATTCTAAGTTATGCAAACGGAAATAAAAATGTTATGTCTAATCATTATTGCAGTAAAATAATGATGGCTACATCACTCAAATATAAATTAAAAATATAGAAAATATCCTGTATATATTCATTCGTAATTTCCCTTTTACGTGTCAAATAGAAAAGTCACTAGGTCACATAAATCAATACTGAATATGATACATGAAAATTCATGTAGCATCTTCAAAATAATTAACTTTTGTAACAGTTTTATTCCCTCTTCTATAGTAATTTATTTTATGGCATAAAGTATATCTAAAATGTTACCTGGGACTTATAATAGCACTAGCAGAACCCGCGGTTCCTTCGCGTTAAAACTATAAAAAAATCTCTAGAAAGGTATGTGTCTTACAAACTTTCATCGCCTATTAGATATAGAGAACGAATTTTGAATAAAAACTTTTTAACAAAAAAATAAAAACCGACTTCAAACAAAAGCACTAAAAAGTAAACAATAACTGATTGGTAGTTTTCATTTACTATACATACCTAATCAAATATTTTCGAAGTCGGTGTGCTTTGCTTTGTATGGGCTAGCACCGATTTCGAAAATATTTGATTAGGTATGTATTTAATAGGTAGGCTCTAATTACTTAGCCAAAGCACACCGACTTCGAAAATATTTGATTAGGTATGTATAGTAAATGAAAACTGCCAATCAGTTAATTTATACTTTTTAGTGCTTTTGTTTGAAGTCGGTTTTTATTTATTTGTTAAAAAGTTTTTATTTTTCCCTTTTTAGTGTAGACAGTAGTAGAAAAGTAAGGATTCTAACGTGTTAGGCTTGTCAAATCAAACAAAATAAGCCCAAACTCAAAGTATCTACTATTAGCCGTTGAAGAGTTCCACCTATCCACCTTCTGGCCTTGCCATCAGATCAGGTCAACAACACCGAACCACTGTACTATCAACGGAAATAGAAATACTTGCAAAGTTTCAAGTCAATATGACAATTAGAAGTAGGTTAAATTCATCATTAGTAGTTTTTCCACCCTTAGGGGTGGTATTTTTTTTGAAATTTAAATGGGACCAATCTGGAAGTATACCCTTTCAAACGACACAAAAATTGTCCAAATCGGTTTAGAAATGACGGAGTTCTGAGGTAACAAACATAATAAAAAAAAAAAAAAACATACAGTCGAATTGAGAACCTCCTCCTTTTTGAAGTCGGTTGAAAATGCTAAAAAACATATTTAATTAATTATATTGTAGAGCATTTATCATAAATATTATTTTTGGTTATATTATAACGTGTTTTCCCGTGGGAATGAGGTAATCTCCCACGGTAAAAA